CCCCCCCCCCCCCCCCATTCAAAGGGGGGGGGGATTTGCATCGCTCCTCTCGTCGAAGCCTTTGTAATTGCAGCCTTCCCATTCCCCAACACTCGCCACATGCACTCAGCAAACAGAACGATAAACTTGGAACAAAGCAGTTTCTGTGCACCACACGTGAATTCTGCCGAAATCTCTGGCGTCTCCTCTTGTTCAGCCCTTCTGAAATACGTACTCAACCTCACGCAACCTCAAGGCGACCAAAAATCACTCTCGAAAAATATGTGTATCTTTGTTGCCCGGCATTTTCCTATGCTCTCCGTCTGGCCGATCGCCTCCCATTACTCGGGGGCCCATCCCCTCTCATAGCAGTCCGTCGACACGCATTCGCGTGGGGTCCCATCTACTCATGTCTCACCTCCCACTGCTCTGTCGGATTCTGCAGCACTCCCCATGAAACTCCCTTCCTGCATGCACACACATCCATGCATCATACAAATTGCAACGCCCTCGCTTTTGTCTTCCATGCTCCTGCGACACACGGCTCCAGGGTAAGGGAAGAGCTTTCCGCGTATTTCTTTGATTCATGGAATTCCCCCGCGACAGAGGCACCTTCGCATTCATTCCCATTTATTCCCTCTAGAAGCCCGCATAGCTCGCCACCGGATGCATGTGAGGCCTTGATAATGGGCAGAGCAGACGAGGAAGGAAAGCTGAATCGATTTGCTTTCACTTTTGACGTGAGCACATGTCCCCTCGACCTCACAGAGGTAAGACTCTTCTCTTTCCCCGTCAACGCACGTATAAAGGACAATTCGATATGAGACGAGTGTTGGCCCTGGTCGCGTTGGGCGGTGTAGCACAGCAAAGTGCATTCGGGGATGTCCGCAGCGACGCAGGCGCACCAGCAGGTGTCGCAGCCTGTGACTTAGGAAACGGTGATTGTGAATTTAGCAGCGCTTGGTTCGACCTTCCGACCTCTCATTACAATAGCACTGACAGTACTTGTAGCTGCCCAGGCGCTGGTGGTAAGTGGATTGCACTGTAACTAAGCTCATAGCTGACTGTCTCTGTCCTGGCTGTAGGCTCCTGTTATGGCGAGTGCGAGCGCAAGTTCGACGCTGCGGAAGTAGCCACCGTGGGGGCTTTCAAATATGGGCGGTTCGAGACCCGTCTCTTTCCGAATATCAGAGACAATGGCGGACTTGTGACTTTTTTCCTCTACAAGAACGACAGTGACAAAGTGCCGGGCACATCGTGGACGGAGATTGACTTCGAAGTGCACGGAATGGGAAAACACTGTCAGGAGCCGATCCAGACCAACGTAATTACAGGCACTATGGAAGACCGCAGCTTCTCAGAAGTGTTCTTCCCCGCACCTGGTCGCTAAAGGAACGTGGACGCACAGTTGAAAGGAGTTAAGAGAGGGTTCCATCACTTTGCCGTGGAGTGGACGTCCAGCTACGTTTCATGGTATTTTGATGGGCAGCGCCTACGCCACGAAGTCTCCTGCGATGCTCCAGGGGTCAACCGTGGCCATTGCAGCACTCAAGTGGCGCAAAGCAATGGGATGATGAATCTTAGGCTGTCCGTGTGGCCACTCAATCCGGCGCTTCCGTGGGCCGAGCATTGGGCCGGAATCTTCGATGGGAAGCACACCAAGCTCCCGCTCACCGTGTATTACGATTACGTCAAAGTGTATGACTATGATCCACTTTCCAAAGGTATGAATAGGAAAAACAAAGAACAGGAAATGCGGTTTGTGTTGGTTGCCTCCCTCAGGTTTCACTCTCAGATGGACTGACGACTTCAGGAGCTTCAAGACGTCGCGATGGGAGAGGAGCCAACATACATTTCTTGCCAATGAGCCTCATTTCCGGGATAATGCCGTCATCGCTGCAACAAATGCCACGGATGCGCGTGCTTATCTTGCTCTTTCTATCGCCCGCGGTCCGGGGGTGTTGTAATAGGGCCCTGGGGCCCCGGACCAAATGTGATGTTATTAAATGACAATGGCGCACCTGATTCAAGGCCCGTTCGCATGACTGGTGGAGCGGAAAGGTGAATAGATGAAGGATGGTTGTCGCGTTTTGCTCTTCCCTTCGGAATCGCACTCAAATAGGTTAAAGCGACTGTCGCGACTCTCTCAATGCGTCGAGTCCATATGTACTTATATATGCGACAGGTGAATGCATTTTCATGCAAACGACAGCCCTAAGTCGGGCAAGACATTTTTCCGTGGATCTGATTGATTATGTGAGCGTTAGGGGACCTGGTGAGAAATCTATCAGGGCTGTTCTGGATACTCTACCGTCGTCTTGCTTGTCAAGCGACATACAGCGATCCTTTTCAGTCGATGACAAATTAAACAGAACATCCAGAGAGGGATCCCGACGTCTCTTTCCGCTCGCTTCCTCAGCGATGAAGGTGTCGACTGAGGGAGCATGGCCGGATGTACAGCGTCTTGACCCATTGGAGATTCTGTGCCACGAGACTGCATGCATCCATGCAACTTGGCCGGCCTTTGAACGGAGCATGGATGCGTCGGTTCAGCTCCACCAAAGGATAGAATATAGGATTATACTATGAATCCACAATAGGTGGTCCTCTGCACGAATGTCCACAGGATACCCACAATTTGAGACAGTGCATGAGAGTGGTAGGAGGAATGCACTGTCTGGATGACGCGGAGGAATTTTGTTTGTCATGATCTCCAAGAGGCCTCCAAGGAGTTCGAATCAAGACAACGGTGACTAGGGCTAGAAAACTCTCAAGACATGTTCAAATCACCAACACATTCTCCAGCACCGGCGGTGTGCCCACAGGAACCACAACACCACATCTCCGTCAGCGTCTGCCTGTCACGCTGTGCCAGACGCTGCTATGGAGAGAACACCAGACCCGAGCGCGGCGTCGCCATGGGCGAGGGCGTCGCCATGGGCGAGAGTGAGGGAGTCGCCATGGGCGAGAGTGAAGGAAACGCTTGGTTGGCCCTCAGACGCTTTTCCGGTCGAGCACCTCCTCCCTGCCCAGCCCCCTTCCCGCCTGTGTCCATCTCGATCGTCGATGGTGTCTTCCTCCTCTCAGCCTCCTCTGCCTTCTCCTCCTTCACTGCCTCTGCCCCGGGAAGCCGCCCCGTCCTCTTCTTGGAGCTTGTAGGAGTCTCTTGTGCTCCGAGTAGCTCCAATCTGGTGTCGACTTCCTGTACCACGAGGCGCAACTGAGACAGACACGGAGAGAAAGAGAACCCAAGAAACAGAAAATACCCTATGTGTGTCGCCACATGCCAACCTCACCCATGTTGAAGGAATGCGACGCACCGGTGTCGACAGTACAGCGTTGACAAACTCGACCCACCCAACATATTCATCAATCGCATACAGATACACGATATCCCCCCTGACTCGAACGGGGTGAGACACGACGTGAAGGGACGCTCAGGTCCTTGAGAGGCTTCGAAACCAAGCAGATCTTGGTCGGGACGACGTTTCGCAGGACCACAGAGGCGTGCGGATGACGACAGCACCGCAGACACTCAACTTGTCAAGAGATCTAATGGAACACAGCGATAAGAGGCCTTCCTTCCTTCCTCGGGGTACCTCACGGCAGGCAACCAGCAGCTACCGCGTCTTACCTCCTGCCGCAGCGCCAAACCGGACAGGAGAGGAAGGGGGGACCAGCCTGCTGCCTCGGCGCCCGGGATTCCATCTGATCGTTTGGGCTTGTCTTCTTCGATGTGTCTGCGGGAGGAGTGGCTGTGAAGGGTTCCTGAATCACATACGAGACACGCATATCATATCAAAGAACACACACATGCATACACAGACATACAAAACGTCTACAGATTTCTCATTCTATTCGAATTGACAAGTCCTCTATGGGCAACAACCTCTTTGGCTCAATTCTCCAAGTCCCTTTCCTGGTCCATCGTTCGAGGGACCGCGCCGTCCTGGAATCTTGCTTGTTGCCCACTGTGACAAGGGCATGGATTCCCTAAAACCGTGTGTGTTGTTCGCGCAAATAGAAACACAGTCGTTGTACGGCTGAGATACATTCCGTATGTGTATTGACAGGACCAACGGCGAAGGATGCTACAGCCTCCTATCGCTTTTCCTGTGCCTCTTGCCCTTTCTGGTCAAGTCCCAGATGCTCACTTCCACCACCACTCTCAACGTCACTGGCGAAATGGTCAGGTTCAGTCAACCAACAGCGCAGCTTATTGCCTGTTTCGTTACATGCTGCAGAAGCCATGGCACAAGCTGACGTTCACCTTCTCGGGCCCAGCGACAGACGAGGCAGCTACGCCCAGCCCCTTTTCATACTACCGCCTCACTATCAACCTCACCCACATTGGGGCAAGCGGCGATCGGACTTACACAGTACCTGGATATTTTGCCGCAGACGGTAATGCAGCCAACACCAGGGCCACAGGAGGCAACAAATGGCGCTGCCATTTCACGCCTCCCCACGTCGGGCGGTGGCGCTATAGTGTGTCATTTCGCCGAGGAAAGAACATCATATTGGACCCGACGTTGCCGGGGAAATCTGCAGGCTACATGGACGGCTATGAGGGCGAATTTGCGGTGAAGCCGTCTGACAAGACGGGCAAGGATGGACGGGCCAAGGGATTGCTCCAATACGTGGGCAAGAGGTATCTCTGGTTGGCGGTAAGTGTGAACCTTAGTGGAAAGAGAGGAAGGGAGGAAGGGAGAAGACGCAATCACGTAAACAACCACGTGTAACGTGTGCCTTGTCTACTTGTGCTGCTTTCAGGGAAGTGAGGAGTATTTTTTGAAGATAGGCACTGACTCGCCGGAGAACCTGCTTGCCTACGAGGATTTTGATAACACTCCAAACCATCTTGGTCTGGCTGTTTCAAGGGCACATCGGCTCGAGACAGTACAGGTAGACGTGATGTTGCATTTGTAGACTTGAGGAAGCAATATAAAAGCCACACGAAAGATTGGAGAAAGGTAAGACAAGTCCACGTTGGTGCCAAGGCGGCTTGTCCAGTTGGGTTCTGGATGTGGTGGTTTCTTGTCCAGGGTGATCCCACATGGAACGGTGCGAAGGGAAAAGCTCTGATTGGCGCCATAAACTATTTAGCTTCCAAAGGTCTCAACATGATGTCTTTCCTCACATTCAACGTGCAAGGTCAGTCTTCGCACACAAGTGCACACAGTGTCATTGTTGGCTCTCGAGTGATGGAGAAAAATGCAGGTGACGACGGCAATGTCTTCCCATACACTAGCGAGTACTCCTTTCGCATCGACGTGAGCAAGACCGACCAGTGGGAGATCGCACTCGAGCACGCGGCGCAGAAGGGTATTGGATTGCACGTAAAGACGCAAGAGACAGAGAACGAATTCATCCACGGCAACAAGCACTTCATTGTGCGGAGGGCGATCTATTACCGGGAGTTAGTTGCTCGCTTCGGCCACCATCCCCAACTCGTGTGGAATTTAGGTGAAGAGACGAAGATGCCGACGTCGCTACTGCTCGCAGCGGCTGACTATATCAGAAGTGTTGACCCGTACGACCACCCGATAGATGTACACACGTACCCTAACGCAAAGGCAAAGGTCTACCCCGGGCTGATTCGGAGCGATACCAGTAAAGTGTAAGAAGGACGGAGCTGTGTGAGTGGTGCCGTCTGGATTTCCCCATCGGCTGCTCTGTGGCGCATTTCAGGACTGGGGCGTCCCTTCAGTGCGAGTTCCCCGAGCGAATCAACGCCGAGGTAGCAAAGTGGATTGCCAAATCAGCCAGAAGCCCAAACCCCCTTGTCGTGTCGAATGACGAGCAAGGGCCAAATTGGCTTGGTACTACAATTCGTTTCTTCCTCCCCGAATCCATCATGTTTTCTCTTTTCAGGCGTGGGAATCGATTCCCTCGACCCTGCTCATGACTCCTTCCGGCGCAATGCACTCTGGGGGACGTTGATGGCTGGCGGGGCCGGCGTGGAGTTTTACTTTGGTTGGGGTTTTCGCCGGCACCAAACTGGCAACAAGGACCCGATAATAGGCAATGATGACACAGACACCAGCCACCCGTACTCGACGTGCTCCGACCTCACATGCGAGGACTTTCGAAGCCGTGACAAACTGTTCACGCAGGCGTTTGTTGCCTGGCGCTTCATGAAGGACAACCACATTCCCTTCTGGGAGATGACCAGCAGTAATCACCTGACGGAGCAAAAAGACGACTTCGTATTCGCCAAAGAGGGCGACATCTACCTCGTCTACACGTTTGTAAACACAACAGAAGTAGAACTCAGTGTCCCCAGAGGGAACAACTATACGGTCCAGTATACGGTCCAGTTCTGGGACCCCAAGACAGGCGGCGACATGATTGACGGGCCGCTGGTCACAGCCGACTGCGGTGAGAGAGAAAAAAACTGCAAGGCGACGTTTTCACTCCAAGAGGCGCGGCGGCATATCGGATCGTCTGATGTGCTAGTGGTGATCAGGAAAAAAAAGGCCGCCCTCATGTCTAAGATGCCCTTTACGTGAACCAAAGCCTGTTTGCTTTTAAGTAGATACGTGAACGGGCGACGAACCAAAGCCTGTTTTCTTTTAAGTAGATACGTGAACGGGCGACGAACTTCGTCTAAGCCTTTTTTGTTGACTTCTTTTTGTTTGACTGTCAGTACGTGAAGTCTGGACCTTGACGATCCAAAATGCTTCTATCAGTTACTGTCTGAGCTCGCAGGGCCTCAGGCCCTTTTTCTCCTTAATATGACGGCTGCTCGGGCCACACTTGCCGGCATCATGTCCAGCTCGAGCAGCTCTCCAGAATGAGTGCCGAATCGACCCCAGTCTCGGCAGACTCAGCCCATCCGCCCCCGCCATCTCAGGAGGGCGTCTCTGCAGTGCAGGGGGATGATGCCTCGCCCCTGCAGCCAGCCGCTGGTCCTGTGCGGTGTTGCCTATGCAACGAACGCCGGAACAAGACCACTGGATCGAGATGCAAGAGGAAGGGGAAACAGCTGGGCTGCCCCTGTTTCGAGAAAGGCAAGAAGTGCACCAACTGCCATTCCTGTGACCTAGGCATATGCGAGATTCGAACTCCCCCTCTATTCATCCTCGTGGCTTCCACTCAGGTATTCATCCTCGTGGCTTCCACTCAGGTATTCATCCTCGTGGCTTCCACTCGGATGAGTCTTCGTTACGAGGCGGATCCGCGTCGTATGTCCCTCCCCAGTGTGCCAGCTGCCACACTCGCCCGGCGTCCTCGAGCAAGGGCCTCTGCTATGCTTGCCTCTGCAATGGTGCCGAGCCTCCCCACCGCCCGCCTCCTGGCATACCCCTCGCTCCCCCTGCTGGCCCTCCGACGTCTTCATTCGTCCAGGAGAAGATGCACGACGCCTTCGGAGCCACCGACTTCAATCAACAGAGCGGCCTCATGGACACCGACTAGCAGCGGTGGCACGCCCGCCTCGGCCCGCTGCGAGGGTGCCTTTGGGATCCACCGGGTGCTTCGACGAAGCGGATGGCCCGACTGCTCGCCACCGAGGCTCGTCGCTGGCGTGAGGAGCAGCTGGCGAGTGAGCGCATCCTCATCTGCGCGTGCACGATTCTCTATCGGGCGCCAGACGTCACTGGCAGCAAGGACATTGCCAAGACAGTGGAGCGGCGGATGGACCAATGGGGGAAGGGCGACTTTGAGCAGCTCGTGCAGGAGGCTGAGCGGAACAACGCCCTCCTGGCCACCAGGCCTGTCGGCAAGGACGACGCCAACGAGGCCACGCTGCGCCAATTCCGTCGCCTGGTCGACAAGGACAAGGTCAAGCAGGCCGTCCGTTTCCTGACCGAGCGGGGAGGGGGAGGCGCGCTGAACCCCAACGACCTGGCTAAGGCCGACCCTGCGGGCCGCACCGTTTGGGAGGTCCTCGAGTCGAAGCACCCCGCCCAGAGTGACCCTGACCCGTCCTGCTTCCTCGACCGGCCCCTCCCTCCCCTCACCCAAGTCGAGCTCACCGCCAACCACATCGAGCGGGCGGTACGGGCAACGAAGGGAGGCGCTGGACCTGTTGGTGGCGAGTCATCGGTGTGGAAGCAACTCCTTCTCAAGAGCGGCGCGGCAAGTGCGGAGCTGCGCAGTGAGTTAGCGGCCATGGCCTCCCACATCGCCAACGAGGACGTGCCCTGGGAGCGGCTGCAGGCCTGCGTGCATGTCGGCTTATCGGTCTGGACAAGCAACCGGGCGTGCGGCCAATCGAGATCGGGGAGGTCCTGATGTGCATCATGGGCAAGGCGATGGCCAAGGCAGTCGGGGTGGATGCGGAGATTATGTGCGGTGCGGACCAGCTCTGTGCCGGGCTCAAGGGGGGCGTGGAGTGTGCCATTCATGCGGTATCCGGCGAGTTCGACTCGGGTGGCGTTGAGTGCGCGATCCTGGTGGATGCGACGAACACCTTTAACGAGATGAGTCGCTCTGCCGCCCTGTGGAACGTCCGCATTTTGTGGCCGCGGTGCTCACGCTAACACCTATCGCGGCCATGCGGCCCTCTACATGCGCGACCAATCCGCGCCGCTGTGGAGCCGAGAAGGGACCACACAAGGCGACCCCTTGGCCTCCCTCTTCTACTCTGTGGCCACCCTTCCGCTCGTGTGGGAGATGAAGCGGCCAGCAGAGGAGGG